TAATTCGGGTATTAGGTTCCTGGACAACGCGCGTTAGCCCAATCGGCCACGCCGGCCCTAAAATTATGAGTTAAGTTTGAGTTAACTAAAATTGGTAGGCGTTAGGGAATTCGAAAGCTTTCAGATATGTATATTATTTCCGCCAGAGGTTGGCAAAAAAGACTAAACGTAGTGGTTTAGTTCTTTGTTTAAAAATGAAGTTGTGAACTTTGCATTCTATTCCAATTTTTGTTTCAAATTTATTTTGTCATTGAAAATACCGGAACCAAGAATCGGATCTTTTATAAAGAAAATATTATGCATTAATCACATCCAAGGCCATATTTATCTCATTTCTTCATAAGGTTAAGGGACTGTTTCAATTTACAATAAGATTATTGTTTTATAGAAGTGCTTCTGTAATCGAATTGGCTGAAAGGATAACTTTTCAATATATTTCATAAAATTATTTCTTCTTGAAAGATCATTGAAATCGAGTTAAAGGAACGACTTTTCAAACCAATCTTAGTATCTCATATGAGTAGTTTGTTAGAAGGAAATCTAGAAATTCGACGTTTTATTACCGAGATCTCCAAATATAAGGATGAACTGACAGGCATTGCATTGTTTTGTTTTTTCAGCTAAATATTTAAAAGTTTTGGCAAAGAATTCACAACCCACTTAAATGAGTGGAGTGAGCCTTCAATGGTAAGGTGCATACCCTCATTGCTTATTCACATGAAATCGATTTAAATGTACGCTTGTTTCAAATCTAATTATGCAATTGAATTTTATTAAACAAAATATAGAATAAAGATAGAAAGTGGATTCATTCCTCTTCTTTATTTCCCACGACTGAAGGGTACCTGTGTGCAATATGAGTTGAGAGAATTATGCAATTCTCCGATGTACTTGTGAACATTTGAAAAGAGTATATTCAATTGAACTAGAAACGTTATTCATCCATTCAAGTGAACCGAGTAGCAAAAAAAATGGTGGGGGTGAAAATTTCATCTTGATATATTTCATTTCAAGTCTGAAGAACTTAATATTTCGCCTGCGAATTGGAGTGGTCTCTGTTTTTCTAAAAAGCGGATTATTGACTCATTCTGAAGGGTCAGTATAAAAAAAAATAAAATAAAAAGAGGGGGAATAAAAAAATGTATTTCATTTCTCATATACAGATGCTCTCCATCCAAATTTAATCAAAACTTATTAAAGCTCTTCTCCCCACCCCCTCAACGTTCCCTCATATGAGATTGTTAAAACCAATATTTTTCCCCTCGGGTTTATTTGAACCCGGTTCTACTGACAACAGATGGAGGGTAAGGTCCGCGATGAATTTAATTAAATCAAACTGCGGGGAGGTGGTACTGGTCAGTCCTCCTCGTTGTTTATGGTTAATAACGAACTTGAGGAATTTGAAAGTGCGAATTGTGCGAGTGGGGTGGGTTTGATATGACCCTAACCCCGAAGACAATGAAAAATACGGAGACCCTTTATGCCTACCACTTTAATACTTAGCCAGATTCTGACTTACGGGTTCAATATGCAGTATTATAGCCCTTCTTTGAGTTGGATTTCTCATATCTTCCATGTTCGTGTATTGTGATACTGGTCATTTATCAAACTGTTGTGGACCCCTCTTTCATTGCTTGAAACACTTGCATGGTTCATAAATAAGTTCAGTTTATTTATACAGATAAATAAAAGACGAGGAACTGAATTCAACTAAGTAGATATTCTTTAAAAAAAAACGCAGAAATGTAGATTTATAAGAGCCTTACTAATAATTTTAGAAAATAAAACCAATAATTTATAGTGGACATCTCTAAAACTTTAGGAGATCAAGATAATTATTCTCAAATATCTATTAAATATTTAAAAATCTGGTGCGCGTAACTCACAAATTTCACCTACCTCTCTACTTTGAATAGAAATTATTTTCTGGCAATGATGGACTATTATAAAATTGTTGAAGTCCATCTTAAACGGTGCTAAATCTTAAAGCTTACAGCTTACAGATCATTAAGGCCATTAAAATAACAAAAACCTTAATTATTATATCAGCGGTAGGCAATAAAACATTATTACTCTATCTGTTTTGTAAACCACATAACTCCAGTCTCAGAGCTATATGTTCCTTTCTGTTGAAAAAATGACTAAATCCAATTTCAACATTTTTGAGTAATGTCATATAGGAACTGTGAATAAAGGTATACATTTTCCCACTTGAAATATCACTAAAATTATTAATAATTTTGAAATTGGAGTTAGTCATTCTGTCAGTAAAAAGACTAATATATGCCTAGAGAGATTTGAAAGTACATTTATATATTTAACCTATAAATGATTAGGGATTGTAGGAATATTAAACTTATTTTTCATTCTAAAATTTAATTAAATGAAATTAAGAAATTTGTCTGCCATAGATAGTTTGCCACACTAATTGTAACTGAATAATGTTGAGATTTCACAAAGGAGAAATTCATGAAATTATTCACTAATATAATTTCCGAAAAGATTACATGATGATTTTTAGGAACAAACAGGCGATAGATACCTAATTATTTAAATATATCAGATCTGCAGTTATTAAACTAGAGTAAATGTATATAAGATTATAAACATATGCTTAATTCATCTATAAAATATTTTTACATTTCACTCCTTTCACAAAGGACAATGAAATAGTATTTTAAACAATGGTATTGCCTTAATTCGGTTGATTTTAAATTTTTTTTAACATAAAAATTTTTTAAAGTTTACATTTAGTAAGACAATTTCATTTAATTTCCTTGAAAACATTTCTTTGATTAACTTTAAATAATGTTAGTTTTCAGAAATTATTATTTATATTTCATTCGTCTTTCTCCTTTACCTTCTACAAGTTTATTTATTAGATATTAATTTTTCTAAAATTTTCCGCTTTCCAATATATTATATGTATACTTTCTGACTGTTATTTCCGAAGATTTATGTTAAGCCTGGATAGGCATTTTTCTCCTGTTTCCAATTATCATATTCTTTTAAACTTAATATTTAGCCATTTCTTATAGTTACTGTCAATAAAAGAGAGATATTTTTTTTTAAATAAACCTTTAGAGGAAGGTACTTAGATATAAGGTACTTTAGAGGAAGACTTATATGAACAATGTGCATTTAAGTTCCTGTAAAGTGACATCAATGAGAATAAGACCTATACAATATTAAAGACCACTTAAGTATACAATGATACACCGAGTTTAATTAAAAATCTTGGAGACGTTGTAATTGTAAAAATTAGTTTCACCTTTGATAAAGCAACGAAAAAGTTGCTCTAACATCTGAGGCATATACATACCTCAAAAGCACTATTTCACTTTCATACGACTTTTCGTTTTTGAGACTCGTCACATATACACAGATCATTTTACCAGACTTGGTTATTTGGACTTAGGAGACCTCAAAACATGTATTTCCGTTAAAAACTCAGATTCAGAATTTTTCACGATCGCAATACTACCCTTCTATATATTTCATACATAGGTAAGTGAAAAAGTAAAAATAGGCAACCCAATTCTATGAGAAAAGAGAAAATCTACTTTTCTATTGCAAGGTTATTATTATATTTGAAAGTTTATTTTACTAAATCTAGGTTCTGATCTTCTAACTAATAATAACTAAAATTATTAAGTAATGAAAATGAACCTCTTTAACTAGTATTTTTATTTGTAGACTTTTCTAGACGAAACTCACAGAGGAGTCTTGATTTTCTTTCTATAGCCTCATATCGTAATGAAATATTTACGATTTTCTAAAAGAATTATTATTAGTTTTAAGTATTTTTAATTTAAAAGTTTCCCTATTTGTGTAACATGTTTAATGAACATTTTACAATATTTAATTTTAATCATTATATATGATATATCGTAAATGATATAAGGTATATCATCAAAACATATGGATATTTTAGAGAACACTATAGATTTTAATGAACCATCTTTAATTAATTTTTTTATTTTATAAAATTGTAAATTAAATCAAAGAAAACGCTTTCTATGTCATTGATGAACGAATGAGGAAAATATCTCACATTGGAAAATTTTATCTAGCCGGACAAATATCGCAAATATGGCAACGCTCCAAATGGAATATATTGCTACGTTGAGCCTTGCTTTCGGCTGTGAAAACATTTCTAGTTATCTTCCTTTCATAGTTGCATCGATCTTGCCAGGCCCACAATAGTTCTTGATAAACTAATACTGCTTCTTCAATTATTAAAAATCCAATTATCCATTGAAATGACCCCAGTAATTTTCTCTCAAACCAAACAATTTTCGAAAGCCGTCGTCTAATAAAGGCTTTTTCTCTTCGATTCAGGATACTCAAACGGCACATAAACAAATATATTTAAAATCTAATTACTCAAATGGTATATTTAATTTTATAAAACCTATTTTCAATTTTTAACATTAAATTGCGGAGTAACTTAATCAAATATATGACATTCGATTAATTCCCATAGATAAAATTATGAGTAGGAAATATTTTTTGACGCTGTGCTTTAAAAAACAAAAAACTGAATTCAAACATATTTATCAAAATCATAATCATTAAAACTTTATAGGAATAAGGAAGTATTTGAGAAAATAGATAAAAAATATGCTAATTTTGGGAATAACTTTGAATAATAAAAATATTATTCAGTAAAAATAAAGTAAAAAACAAAATGAATCTACCCACAAGCTAACAAATATTAGATAAGCTGGACCAACTTGTTTCTTCTCCTGATATTCCTTGATCAGTAATTTTTTTTTTTATTAATTAACTGTTGTGAATCAGGATGAAAACGATTTTATCTAATGAAACCTTTTAGAGCCCATTAAAAGTAACACAGAATTGGTTAAGGATTGAATTTTTATTTGTTTTTTTCTGTCCATTTTCATTCTAAGGAGAAAAACATAGATTCAACAGCTATGGTAATAAACTTTGGTTCGTTCCAGTTAGCTTACAGTTTCAAGTTCTACTGTCCACAGCAACTACCGGACTACCGTAACCCATTCTACGACCGGAATGCACACACCGTTTAAAAACCGATTTGTGAAACTAGTCAACTGCAACCTCCGCCGGAGTCTTGCTAATTCGATATCCTGCCGCAAGAAAAACCCGATTTGGTAGCCGAAGACATTTCCAAAGCCAACCACGGTCACCGAGCAGTGTTGCGGTCTCCACTTCCTTTCTAGCCGTGTCCTCGCTGGAGCATGGGCACGGATCCGGGCTTCTTGCATGATCGGCTGTGGTCTCAATTCATTTCAGGGATCATGAGTTCGCGGTTGGAGGAAATTTGTTAGAGCTGGACGAAAAAATTCTGGCTCTCAAAGTAGGAGAGCCAATAACTTTCAATTTTATGAAAGTCACTATATAATAATTGACTTTTATAACGAAGAAATATATCATTCAAGTAACAAAAGATAGTACTAGATCCAATGATTTTTTTTTTTTGTATTTAAAGAGAACAATTATGTATAGCTTTTCAGGAAAAAGCTGAACCATTCACTCCCCAGGTCAATTCTGGGATACGAGAAGTCACTCTTCAGGTATAACCAACTTATTTATTAAAACCAGAATGGGATGGTCAAAATAGATTCCGTGGGTCCTCCTCGGTCATCACAGTCTCGTGGAAAGAGTATTCTGTTTAACATTTGGTTATAAGTGGGAAGAAATACACCCAAAATCCATCATTATATATTGGTTAAGTCTTTTTAATAGTATTTCTACCCCAATTTCGTAGGGGCCTATTTCGACGTAGAAGTGTCTTTCGAAACTTTTGCGTTTGACTCTAACTTCCCATCGAAATCGAGAATATTCCAGTTGGTCAGTGAAACATATACACATTATAGCTCTGGAGCCAGGAACCAAAAATCGACCTGATTACAGGCGAAGGTTTGAATTTAAATTACGAAAGCGTGTGTTATTATAGGTGAAATGAACCTTGTCTGCCATTCCAGAACCGCTGCTTCCATAAATGGCGGCTGATTTAAATAATATTAGGCCTATATCGAAACGGTAAATTTTTTTCGAAAAATGCAGAAATTTTTTTTATTTGTTTGTAACATAGGTTTAAACATGTAAAAAACGAAATTGCTAATGCGGGCCAACAAAGCAACATTTTTACAGCTAAAAAAAACGATTATTTCGATCTTTTTTTGATTTTTCACTTATATCTTCTAAACGATTCATCGAAACTAAAATTGTATTATTTGAAAAATTAAAGAACGTTAAATTGTCCGTCGAACGAGTACCTAAACTTAACGATTTGGTTAACCGATAAGATAGAAAACACAACGGTCATAGCTCAATGGAAAGAAATTGGTAATGAAGGTATTTTTCAATCAACTAAGTTATTCTTGCGTAGAGTCTGGTGCATGCAGTATAAGCCTCTTTTTCCACCTTTCTGCACCAAAGGATTTTGTGAAAGAATGTGTCGAAAGAATCCGAATTTCATGAAGAAACAACGAATCCCTATAAGAGATATATTATTGAAGTACATAAAAATTTTTAGTACTCAGTGGACGCAAAATTCGATGCCCTACTTTGGATTATATAGGATTTTTCTCTTAGGGAACGCATTTCCAAGCTATATCACCATTTATAGTAATTTGTCTTAGTTGTTGACCAATTCGGTAAAAATCAGCGTTGCTTGTTATAGTTGAAAAAGAAATCTGCCTTTTTTTTTGGCTGAAAAAAGTTTTCTCTTGGTGACCTGCATTAACAATTTTAGTTTTTACATGTTTAAATCCAAGGTAAAAAAAAAGTAAAATGGACAGCTCATTATAGTTTTTATTTAACTTTACAAAAAATATTCGTATTTAACAAATGGAAAAATAACATTTTACATTATTGATATTGATTGTAAACTTTCACAAAACATGACAAACGAATTTTACGTTTACAGAATGTACCGACACGAAATAATAATTGTTTATTATGCCATTAATCGTCGATAAATATATTTAGACAAATGTTGTCGATCGGTGGAATTAGCGCTTGCTAACTGACAGCTACCAGATCCCAATATTATCATAATTAGTGTATAACTATGGACTGGTGGTATATTAATTAACGTTTAGTATAATTACTCCCATGGGAGAATCCCCAAAGCCCTGACAGATCTAATCAGGAGATTAGTATGCCTATTGACATTGATGTATGCTGCCCGGTCGCGATGCCAGTCAGTCCCCTGTCCAGATCTGCCAAATGCCTAATAATATTTTCTACTCAATTTCTTCTTCTTTTTTTAGTTTCGCAATTATTGTAATTAATTTCGACGATCGATACTAGTACAGAAAGCGCATACACAAACCCGGTCATCCGAGTCATATTAACCGAAACGTTAGTAATTACCTTGATTGGTATCAATTAACGGATTAGCTGGTTACGACGAAGCTTGCATCTTGCATATTGCAACAATTAGTTGATTAGTACGCTAATATCAGTAATTGAATCCCTCTGAAATTATTTATTATTGTAGAATTTAACATGTTTTATTATTATATACAAAAAGGGAAAATAAAAGACAAAATAAAAATAAAAAACACAATTTTTATCATTAAATTAATTTGTTAAATAGGCAAGAAGAATTATTCGATGATTTCCGGGCATGGGAGTGGTGTAAGTCAGTGGTAGGGCGCTGACTTCCAATGCTCAAGGTTTCTCAGGTTCGCATCTGACTAATGGCAGATGAATTATTTATTCTGTTTCGTGGGCCGTGGATGGACCCTGCGACAGACCCTCCTGGAGCACACGGGTCTATATTAACTTAGTAACCTTAATCAAACAATTGATTAAGGAGGATAACCTGGCGGTTGAGTGTGATCTTGGTCAAATTACCTCCTTGCAAATTCGTTGACCAATGGGTGGTAGTAGTACAGTTTTTTTTTTTTTTTATATTCCAATATCGGTCTGATGTTAACTGAAAATTATAAGCCGAACAGTTGTTAATCAGGTTTAAGACTTTAATTGTGCGTTATTGAAAACCGTTAAAAATTCAGATCCGCACCAGAATTTGAAGAAGGGGAAATAATAAATTGTTTTCCTTTTCGAACACTTTTGACAACTAAAAAAAATTGGTTATTGGTGGTTTCTTCAAAAAATTGTTGGCCTATTGAAGGACATACAAGTAAATCAAACTAACCAAACCCTATGATTTAAAAACCTAGGAATAAAAAATAAAACAGGTATACATCTTTTTTACACCAGCCAACTCTACGGCAACCATTTCTAATTGACAAACCTAACAGCTAAAGGATTACCTGGATATAATTCACATCTATGACTGTTAGGTAAATTTTGGAGGAATGATTAATGTGATATATCAGATAAGTCGGATGGCGATACTATGATTAGGAAAGTATTTATTATTAAATGTTTCACTACTAAAATAACCAAAAAGCTCGAGAAGAGACATTATGAATGTAACAATCCACAACTATAAAGTCATGAGTCTCCAACAAACAAGTGAACAGTCGACTTAGCAATGTTTCGCCAATTCAGGTACCATTAGAGCTGGGTTTTCCACCCTCTCCCCCCCCCCATAAGGTAGATAACCCTACCCCGCCCCCCCTCCTCCAACGATATTTTATTAGTCACATTTTCATCATGCAAAGCAAGCTAAGGTAAAATTATAGAAATCGTAGATCATATACAAATACACTTGCTACGGCCTGTTATATATTTTTTGCATACGCCTTTGTTCTTGCCCCCCTCAAAATTTTAAAAACCTGTCAAAATATGCCGCCCTCAAACCTTTTACGCTTGCGCCATGAAATCCCTTCTGGGTTCTCCTGCATCACCAAAAATCACATATATACAGAAAGAAAGAAAGAAAGAGAAAAAAAAATTGATATTGACATCTCATTAAAGAGAGGAAGGTTGTATGAAACAGCTTATGAGAAGGGATACAGAGAAAAAAATAAATACTTATACTTGAATAAAACAAAACGGAAGAACAAAGGTGTATAAAACTTACATATCCACAATACTTAGTGGATAAACACGGCTACTATACTAATAATACTACTTAAATAAGAAAAAAAGAGACATTATGAATAGAAAAATCCAAACTATAAAGCCATGATTCTCTAACATACAAATGAACTATTAACTCGTTTAAATGATGGCTCTATTAGCGAAACGTTAGCTAGTTAACTCTTCAATTGTATGTTAGATACTGATAGCTTTATAGTTTCGATTAAAGATTATACCTTAACACATTTTTCTTGCGCAGAATGCTAAATTGTGATTAAAGTTACTTCATCAGATTAAAATGTTATAGGATTGGATTGTGGCAGATAATTTCAATCATGGTCTGAAAAATATTTTCAAGTGTTTCTACTTTACTGTTTAGTAGGCTGTAAAACCCTCCCTACGATTACTATCTCGGTCCGCTCTGAAACTAGTGTTAGATCGGAGGCGAGATCCCGAGTTTCATCGAGTTCCCCCGACACCGAGATCTCACCAGCCGCCGGAGTGGATTTCAAATTACCAGGTTGACGCCAAATGGGGGCTGGTATTGACTACAATCGGATGGGACTGTTTTCAATTAAAACAAGTTGAATGGCGCTAACCGTACTCCTTGGAAGGCTAATGACGAGGAGGCTAATTCAATAGGCGGGGGTATTGTTACCTTGTCGGGGGCCGCGGCGGACAATGGGCCCTCTGATTACATAGACCATCTGCCTCGAATTATCTTCGCTACTGTTCCTACTGTTTCAGTAGTCATCCGTCTCTACGCGGCTGTCTTCTCTTAGTCTTTCTTATTTGGTTTGTCTCAAACTCCAAACAATATTAATGCAGCGGCTAATTAGTTTATCTCGCTCAGTGTCAAATGCACATCTTATTCTATTCAACTTTAATAATCCAACTGTATATAATAATGATAAATAATTTCCATATTGTTTCTTTTTAAAATATTAATCCACCATATTCATACGACCCTTCAGATATAGTTTTACAAATAAATTATAGATATCTATTTCTCGCTTAAATATTTATTATTAGTAAGAAATGTACTAATAAAAAACAATATACCTAGTCCTGTCATTAATATTGTTACAAGGAAATAAACACAGATTTCAACAGATTTTGTTTTCAAAAGCTTTATTAGAAAATAAAATGTATATAGAGAGTAAAACAAAAAATAAATTACTCAAAATGTCCCCTTTGACCTTGAAACAGGCATTTAATCTCGGTGGTCAGTCAGCAGCACGCAGCACTCTTGAGAAAAGCG